CCACTTGACCGCTGTGTATTTCATTTTAATCCCTTGATAGGGTTATGTATATCTTTTTCGTGATTTTAATGGTTCTTTGATTCATCAATGGGTTTGATCAATTTGATTGATCAAATTTCTCGATGAATTAGGAACTTGAGAATGAGCGAAGTAAAGAATATGAATTCGTATCAGGAACCTTAACCCTGAAAAATAGGTAGAGTGATTGCTTAAATATTTTTCGTTGAACGGTTAAAATCTGAGCTCAGTGTTTAACGACGGCTAAATTTCGATATCTGTGAGAGCGTGTGAGAGCGTTGAAGAAAATGATACTTAAGTTAGTGAGAATAATTAGAAGGGTAAAAGGGTCATTCATGCTCATATCTAATTATTGGATTTCGAAAAGGAATAAAATACTTACTCGACAGGTCAGAAGAAAGTATTACATATTTATTAACTTCTATGATCTTATATATTTCAAAAGTCCAGTCTTTTGCTTTTAATGGAAAAAAGCAAACACCAATAATTAGATTGAGTGATATATGGTCGATTAGACAGGATCAAATTATTGAAGCTTCAATAATATATATGTTCGATCAGGTTTGTGGTAGCTCTATAAATTATTGAAACTTAATTACGGTAATTACAATAGTTTTGAGCTTAATTGTAAATTACAATAAAGTTTGTACTTAGTTGTAATTATTATGGAAGTTGTAAACTTAATTATAATTATAATTGAAGTTCTAAAATTACACATATAATTATATGTAAACTATTTAGATTTAGACTTTCATTAAAACTTCTACTTGAATTTTAATTAGAACTCTTATTTGAATGTAAAATTATCATTGTATAGGGATTAAAACTATTCTATCTCTATAAATAGAGATTAGATGGAACCTAGACATCCCATGAGATTGAATAAAAATCCTACAACAGTCACAATACATAATTCTGTATGTTCAAATTTGGAGAAAGATTTTTTTTTTTTTTTTTGCTTTATTCAATTGTCGAGTTCAAAATTAGGTTTATTGATTTAATTAAAAGAAGGTGCACGCCTAACGGTTTAGTTTTAACTTTGGAGAATACCATAAAAGACTTGAATGTTTGAATCATCAAGTTTTTGGAATTAAAAAGCTGAAAGATCGTGATTGAGAATTAATTCAAGAATTGATCGTAGAATTTAGGTAAAAGTTTGAGTCATTTATTCTTAATATAACATGCACGTAAATATCTAAACAATCTTTTTTGTTGAATTAAAGAAAATTTTTAATTTTTGAATAATTTCGCTTTTGCATTCCAACATCAAACATGTATATAAGTAGAAGACCACTGACATAATTAAAAATTGCTAGAGCTTTTAGCCCTACACAAATTTCAAATCAAAATTAATAGTAAAACAGATAAAATCATAACCATGAGATTAAGAGGAAAAACCTAGAAAATGGAAACCATCAAACATACTGATCTACGATCTTCATCTATATACAGAAAAAGAACGACATACCTCAGATCAATGTAAACAAAGATGACCTCTATTGATTTTGAGCTATAGACAAAAAGAAGAACAACATAGGTTAAATAAATTGCAAGAAAATCACAAAAAAATAAAAATAAAAAAAAATACAAATTTCAAAAGAGCATACCCTAAGATAATTGGTACAAATTGCGTGGTTTTCTTCTTGAAAATCGACAGAAAAATTGGAATTAGCTTGAAGGCAAAAGCGAAATTGTCGATGATTTTTTCTCTGTGTGAAGATGGAATTTCGAGAGGTTATTTTATTTTATTTTTTTGGGAGGGAAGCGAAAGTTGGAGTCTTGGAAAGGGAGAATGAGAATTGAAAAACTCATAATAGAAGAGTTTATATTCTAGATATTTCATTCATTTATTATTAATACTATTATTATTAAATCAAACCAGTTCAACCAGGTGAAGTGTGAAAATCAATGTGACAAAAATGAATAATGAATCTCAAGTTCTCTCGTTTAAGAGAAAGGATTGAGATATTGTTCCCTAATCAAAAGTAATTTTTTTTCATCTTCTAAATCAATATATACATCGTTATTTTAGAATCTTGACCCACCATATGGCATATAGAGTATCATTTATAAGCTGAAGTAAGCCATATTTTCATGAGGAACACATGCAATATAATGAGGAACTCGATTGGTTTACATACTTTGAGAAATGATTATGCAACTGTACTACAAAGTTAGGAATCCACTTGTTTCTTTTTTAAAGGATTGATGACTATCATGATTCATGCTTATCAACATTGCTTGAGGGCTAATGGGGCAACTTTTCCTTTTATTTATTTTGGGCCAGCATTATCTTCATTTCGGTCTGCCATTAGGGGATTAGATTATGTTTGGCTAAGCTTAAAGTTATTGATTTTAATAAATTAAGTTAAAATTTACTTTCTTGAATGATAAATTGTTGTTGTTAAGGAAAAAAAATTTAATGTATATGACAAAAATGAAGCTTAAATCGTAGTTCATTGCTTATGCATCTGAATGACGAAAAGATTCAACCACAGAAATATCAGAAATCTTTCAATTCTTTAACAATCAAATTTGACCAAATAAAATGTTAACTCATTTTAAGTGTTTAAATAGTATTAAAAAACCCAAAAAAAAACATAATTAAGGGAAAAATGTTCTTTTGTAATTAAATAACCGAAGAACTAAAATAAAACAATAAATCAAGGGAAATAAAATATAGGATTTGGCAAGGATATATTTTGGCTCCATCACAAATGATCTTGGTCACGAAAATTTAAATAAATCGATAGTCTTGACATGCATATACCTCCAGTTTCCAGGCACATTCATTTGAAGTGTGGCAGACTAGATTGATCGATATACCATATCGATGTGGGTACTAAAACTTATTTGTAACTAATCATATCAAGTTATATAGTTTGAGAAATTCACCAAGTGCTACATATATATATATATATATATATATATATATATTCACTACTCATTTTTATCTATTTAAAATTTAAATTATTTATAAGCACTTCATACACGTGCTTTTAGATTCATCAAATATGTCATCAATGATAAAAAATGAAATATCGGGGAGATTCATATGTGCACACCTAAAAATATAGCACAGACTATATATGGCAATAAATTTATAGTCTCTTTCTAAATGAAATTCAATAAATTTAGGGTAATTATATTCACAATATTTTTAAATTTGTTAGATCACATTTTAATTTTATTCAAGGTTCACAGTTTTCGCTTACGGTGGCCCTTATATTGTAAACTTTATTTATTTTTTATTTTTACCTTCAATATTTATTATTTAGCACATCTCATCTCTCAACATAATTTCTATCAAACAAGTCAATTCGACGGTCTAAAATAACTTGTTATCCAATCATATTTTTTAAAAAGTAACAAATACAAAAGTGTGAGATATTTTTCCCCTCATTTTAAAGCGCGCGCACAAAAAAAAATATTTTAATCGAAATCAATATAAAAAATAAGATTTTCTAATTAATAGAATATTGAAGATAAGAATTCGATAAGAAATAAATATGGACAAAATTTTACGATGAGAAAATATTGGAAATTTCAAATAAATAAAAATATGGTGCTAGTATTAAAAATTATGGTATGAATACAATACCTTGAGAACCTAGCAATGCGATCTTTCTTTAAAGAGTTCAAAAATGATGTAAGCAAAATTTCTTACAAAATGCATGATATGATGCACTAATTCGTTACTTATCTCTCAAGGGACCTATATATAAACTAATAAATCTACAAAATCTTCTCTTTTATATAGCTCCGAGTACGAAGCCAATTCCTCGAAGACAACCGGTCTTCGGATGTTGAACAAGTTCAAAGCAGGAAGAGGATTATGGATTCGTTGGATCAATTCCTCTATAAGGCAATCTACACGATAAGCTGCAAAAACAAAAGTACTGCCGCCAACCTCATGTTTGAAATCTTGACGTGAAATCTAATGAAATTTGGTTGTTTATAGAGAGCTTTGCCGCCAAATTTAACCCTTACTCTCCAGAAAATTACATATGTTATCCTTGGCATGACAGAAATTTTTTTATTTATATAATATCATAGTTAACACAGAGATATCTGTTGTATTTAACAATAATTATGTTGAGAAATAAGAATCACAATTCTAAATTAATAGTTTAAGATTCATACCTGTGGAAGTCATCTTGAATGTAAATATTAATGCTAGTGCTTCCTCTCATTACTCAAAAATATTAGCCGTTAATGGGACAATAAAAAATATATGGAGAGGAAAGGGGACCGAGCCTTTTATATAGAAATATATTGAGTCGTCCCATTAACGACTCCAACCCTAATTAGGTTTACATATTTTTTAGCCCACATACCTATATTACCACATTATATAGTATATAACCCTATATGACTAAGGCGTAAAACAGTTCAAGTAATCATTCGACATATTGGGCTTAATCATAGTATCATCGTTATGAAATTATATATCTAACCCATTTTATGAAACATAAAATTTGTAATCAAATGGAAGGCTCATATTTTGAAATTATTCTAACAATATCAAATTGTGTTCTCGCAAGTAAAATGCTCAGCCCAAAATTAAAATATACCAATTGACCAAATATTTTTTCAAACGTTGAGTCCTAGAAAAATTGGCAAATTAACCCCTGTCCAATACTAATTTTCGAACATTAAATAAATAGTGTTTTTAGCCCTGTTTGGCCTCATTATTTGCTCATTTTTTCTTCTTACTTTCAGAATTGATGGTCCCCACCCTGTATATCTTGCGCCATTCTAACATTTGGTATTGTCTTTTCAAAAAATGTTTCACCTCAATTTTCCAAACTGCCATTAATACGTTTGTGGTTCGTTGCATCAATCGAAGACGATAGTTGAGGGTAATTTTGTCCAATTAATGATAAATTGAAGTTTGATGGGAGCAAACAAGGGCATATTAATGAATCTGAAACAGGGGCATAAAATCATACAGCATTATTCATGCCAATTTACAGTTGCACTTTCCATTACATAAATATAAATCAGCCACTGTATTCACAGCATTACAGTCCTATTATACGTGTCCTTGAACAACATATCTTCCTGGCAGGTTGAGCAGATCTCCAGCAGCTATCACAGCCATTAGATCTATAGTTGCAGCTGAGAAAAAGCCCCCCAGCAGTAGAGTTATCATCTATAGATCCATCACAGCATCTTCAGCAGCCTGCAGGTACCTAACTGTTACTTGTTTGAAACTAAATTCTAAAAGAGTTGTTTGTCGATGAGCTCTCTAAAATTTTGTCTAACAAGTTTTCTGCTTTGCGCTAGCTCAATCAAATTCGACGATGGCTGTTTTTGCACTGGTGGAGCGATTGGCTCCTCTGATCGAGAAGGAGGTAAATCTGCTCCTCGAATCTAAGAAGAAAGTGGAAAATCTCACTGGGCAGTTGAAGAAGATCCAGGAGGTGCTGATGGATGCAGAGAGAACTGCAGTGACTGATCCAAATGTCAAAAATTGGGTAAAAGAACTCCAAGATGTGTCCTATGAAATGGATGACGCATTGGATGAATGGCAAACCGCGAATCTTCAACTGCAAATTGAAGGATCTGAGGAAGTTTCTGATCCTTGGGAGAAGGTAATTTCGTTCATTCAATCTATTTGTTTGTGCTTCGAACATGTTGTTGGGCGTCGTGAAATTAATCTGAAGATAAAGGGTTTGATCGGGAAACTAGATTTGATTGTTCAGGGAAAAGATGAGTTTAATTTTCTTCGAAGTGGTGGCCATAATTTGCAGCAATTTAAGCGAATTGAATCGACTTCTTTTGTTGATTCTTTTAGTGTACATGGTCGCAGTAGAGATAAGGAAAACCTTATGCGAATTTGTTGTCTGAGGGGCGCAATGGAGTCGAGATTGTTTCAATAGCAGGGACAGGAGGGGTTGGCAAAACAACTCTTGCTCAGTTAGCCTTTAATGATCCTGACGTTACGAAACATTTTGAATTTAAAACATGGATTTGTGTTTCGGATCCTTTTGATGTGATTAAGATTGCAAATTTAGTTCTTCAAGCCGCTGGGGAGAGTTCCTCCAACATCTCCAATCTGGAAATGTTATTACAACGTGTGAAAAACACAGTTTCAGAGAAAAGATTTCTTATCGTCCTAGACGATGTGCGGACTGAGGACCACAGTAAGTGGGAACCACTGAAAAACTCTCTCCAGGGTGCCCCTGGAAGTAGAATTTTGATGACAACGAGGAGTGATCGAGTTGTAAGAGTGATAGGCACGGACACGCGGCAACCATTAGGCAAATTATCCGAACAGGACTGCTGGTCATTATTGAGTAAGAGGGCTTTTGTTGGAAGGAGTGAGGAGGAGCGCGAGAGACTAGAAGATATTGGTAAAAAGATTGCGCTGAATTGCAAGGGGTTGCCACTTGCTGCAAAAACTATGGGAAGCCTGCTATGCTTGAAAGATACTATAGAAGAGTGGCTAAATGTTCTGAAGAGTCCTTTGTGGCAGCTGGAGGAAGCGACGGTTGAGCTTTTCCCCCATTTGTATTTGAGTTACAATGATTTGTCTCCGGTGGTTAAGCGCTGCTTTTCGAGCTGTGTCATATATCCAAAAGATACCTTGATACGTTTGGATGAGCTTATCAGGATTTGGATGGCACACGGTTATGTTGGTTCGAGTGGAAATGTAGATCTCATGCAAATAATGGCGTTTAAGTTGTTTAAGAACCTAGAAATGCGATCTTTTTTTCGAGAGTTGAAAAGGGATAAATATGACGGAAGTAATATCTCTTGCAAAATGCATGATATAATGCATGACTTCATCAATTATCTTTCAAAAGATGATTACTGCTTAATCATGTATGGTGGAGTAGAGATTACGAATTGTGATATCAGAAAAGTTCGCACCTTTTGTGCTAGAAATGTTACTCAACAAAGTCTCCCTTCCAATCTCTTTAGTCGTTTAAAATGTGTTCGGGTACTTATTGCGAGCAATTGTGGTTTGCAAGAACTTCCACAAGAGATAGGAAAATTAATTCACTTGAGATATCTTGACTTGAGCTTCAATCCTATAATAGAACTCCCGGAAACCTTGTGTGATTTGTATAATTTGCAAACCTTGGATCTTCGGGGATGTCGCTTTCTCTCTGCACTCCCTCAAGGGATCTATAAACTAATAAATCTACGACACCTTCTCTTTACATCTCAGGGAATCAGGTCAATTCCTCAAGGACTGGAGAGATTAACAGGTCTTTGGACGTTGACCCGTTTCGTAGCAGGAAGAGGAGCAAGTAAGTTGGGATATTTGGAAAAACTAAACCAACTTCGAGGATCTCTAAGCCTTATTCTAGGAGACTTGAATGGGTTAGAAGACTCGGTTGATGCTGAGAAAGCAGAATTGAAAAATAAGATACACATTCAAGATTTAGAATTCAATTTCAATGGGGAGGTGAGGGTGGACGTAATGGAGGCTCTTCAACCACCTCCAAACCTGCATCATTTAAAAATTATTGGATTCATGGTCACCCAATTTCCAGTTTGGATCACCACGTCCCTTAATTCTTTAAGGTTTCTTGTTATCCAATCATTCAATGACTGCTCATGTTTGCCTCCTTTGGGAAAACTGCCGATGCTTGAGGAGCTTGAGATATTATTCATGACTAGTATGAAGTACGTGGGAAATGAATTCTTGGGGATAACGAAGACTATCCAGGAAATATCGAATGCCGGAACTGCATTTCCGAAGTTGAGGAAATTGAGTTTTTTCGGTTGTGCCAACTGGGAAAAGTGGGAGGATATAACTGGGGATGAAAAAGACCATCTCTTAATAATGCCATGTCTCAGGGGGTTAGAAATCTTTACTTGCAACAAGTTAAAGGCATTGCCACATTGCCTTCTTCGTATGGCATCGTCTCTGGAGTATTTGAAAATTGGGAACTGCAAGAATCTAATTTCACTTTATGGGGACAGGACTGGAGACGAATGGGACAAGATATCACACATTCCCCACATTGAGGTAGCCAGAGTATCCAGGTATGGCTTCCATAAACACTGTACCATAAATGCGTTTAATGCTGATTTTTTCTTTGAAGTTCCATTGATTTTTGTATAAGAGCATATGCTTTTATCAGATTCAATTATTATTATTATTATTTTGTTTTATTTTTAATATTTTTGATACAGCTCTGGGTCAAAATCACTTCATGCCATTTTTCCGCAGACAGTTTTCCACATTGATAATAAAGTTTGGGGCATAGGAGTCTAAATAACTTTATTTTGAGTTGAAAGAATTTCTTGTTTTAAGTTTAAAGGCCCCTAATGTACTTTCTGAAATGATTAAAAAGGTCTTAAAAATCCTTGACTAACATAATTGTTCAAAAGTTCTTCAAGCTAAATTCCGCCTTTTTCATTTCTAAAGCACGCGAATTATGCTTCTATATAAAACCCAATTTCTTTATTCTTTATTCTTTGCTTCCAAGTTCCAACAACCACCAGTTCATCCTCGTCTCTTCCGGAATAAAATTTCAATCATTACTGCTAATCTCCCAAAAACTGCGACTGCATTTCAGTCCTTGGTAAATTTTAATAATTTCAAAAATTGTTGAATTTGCTTTGTTTAGTTCTATTCCACCTCCAGAAGATGAAAATTTAAATTATGTTTGTAAAGTGTTGTTAACCGATTTTAATTATAAATAGATAGAAACGAGTGGTGGATAAGTGGGCAATATTTTTGGATCTTTTAAATGTGTTGATAAAAAATGACAGGATTGTTTATATAAAAGTTTATAAATATGAGCCAAATATAGGCTTATAAAGTGAAAATGTAGATGTGTCATTTTTTCTATAACTATGCTCGGTTTTGTATATTTGGATGTTGTCAAAAAGTCGAGAAAAATTGTCTCCTTTGAATACGTTTATTATTTTGCCTTTGTCTAGATGCAAAGTGAATCATTCTTATTTGACCAAGTCAGTCTACAAATGTGCATTTGTCTTTTTTTTACGAGTACAAATTTCACTAAAAATTTCCTTCTTTTTTTTTTTTTTTTTTTTTCTATAACTAGGTTCGTACCTTGTGTTTGTGTTGAATTGCAGAAATATTTTTAGCAGACATATTTTGAGAAGAAGGTAAAGTGATCAAAGCTGACGGATATGAAAATGCGCAAAGTAGTGGAGACACTTGTGCTGGATCTTTCTATTGAAAAACTGTACCTTAAGACTTGTGTAGTTATTGGATGAGATTGTCGTTTGTATTTTAATAAATATGGAACTGTGTGTTGATGTTTTAGTCATAAAGTTTTAGGTTTTAATTCATTACATATTTCAATGGTTGGTTTGAAATTTGGGTTCATGTTTTATAACTTTAATGTGTTGATGGTGGGTTGAAAATTTGGTTTTGATAAATATTTGAATTGAACAGTACGTAAAAATTGCACAAGATAAAAGCAAATTGGCGATATGCCATCCAAGTACTCCGTTAAAAAAAATGACACTTGACCGTTTAAAATGCACTTCACATTTTTAATAAATTTCATTTCGACTTGATTACATTATCATTTCTATCAACTCAAACTCAAAAGAAACAAACTTTCATCATCTTTAAGGGTTCGTTTGACTGGGTTTTGCTTTTTGTAGAAAAGTTCAATAAGAAACTAACTTATCCAATGTTTTCTAAAAAACTTTCTAGTCAGATAGTACTTTCAAAAATTATTCAAACACGTTCAGAAATAGCTTTTCGCGTTTCATAAACCCTTTGAAACGGGACTTAAACATCTTGGTTAGATAGAATAAGTAACTTAGAAGTTGCAATTAAGTTAATGCAATTGTATTATACATATTGGCTGGTACTTAATTTGTTTTATTAATATTCATCTCAATATAGACTTGTGTTGTAGATCATTTGCGCACTTAATTTGCTGTTGGAGCCCGTCTCCAATAATTACGAAGAATTGTGGAAAATAAGTGAAAAACGCATTGTGTAAATGCTATATGTATTTTCTAATCTTCAGATTCCTTGATCCATCTTTTTATCTAAAGTAACCGATTCGATTTCATTAAAAATTTGGATACGACTCAGTAAAAGGCCAAAAAATTAAAAAAAATTAAAAATAAATAAATAAATAAATAAATAATTCAATATAAAAGTTGCAGCCGTGGCCACCAAAGGTTTCCATTAATATATGGGGAGCATCCTCCTACCAATGCTTTTGACAGAAAATCTAGGCTCTCAAATTTATGTTAATTTAACACTATAGATGAGTTAATTGAAATCCTTAAAAATTTGAAAATGGAAAACCCCACAACTCACTCCGACCCGCCCGCCACATTACGCTTATGCTTATACTCCTGTTCCATTATTCAAACTCTCAATTTATAATATCCCTAACTATTTTTCTATCAATTTCTACATAAGATTTGATTTTGTAAGCAACTACTTCAGTTTCTTAGCCTGTATTCGGCTACTTGAATACAAATTACTACACGTCCTAGAACCCTCACTCGTTAGTTGTTGATTGAAGATTACGGGGCGTTTCGAATAAAAGAAGACGTTGTTTTATTTAGTTTATTAATTCTATTCTATTATTTATATATATTTGTTAGAATTTTACAATGCTACTTGAATACAAATTACTACACGTCCTAGAATCCTCACTCGTTAGTCGTCTCGTAGGGAATTTTACAAGGTGGTTAGAGAGAGGTTGGAGGGTTTTGAATAGAGAATACTTTGACATCAACGAAGAATATGTTATTCACGAATTAAACTTTTCTTTTAATAAATTTATGAGTATTTTAGTCCTAATTTCTATGGATCAATCCACGTGTTGAAGTCGTGAGTATTTCAAGATAGCTATTTCTAGTGGACCATTTGCCTCAATCTTCGTGCTCGAAACTTCCAGCCTCTAGGATTGATTAATGCAACGTCAAATCTAAATTAATTAAATAATTTTTAACCGGAATATATGAATTTATATCTATAACTCTGCATTATCCCCTAATGTATATCAACAACAAGTGTTGATGTGATGCTCTTATTTACCCCAGAAATTTGTGATTGCTATATCATTTGAGTTCCAAATCTGGAATGAAAGATTGCTGAACATAATAAAAAAGGGGATGGGTTTTAGCTGAGTATTAATAGTGGGATGTAAATGGATTGCCATTTCATGACCGATTTCCTGTATCAATTTGAAGAGAGAATGAGTGGGTGTGGGGGTGGGATGTAAAATATCAAACATGTTTGAAATGAAAGTAATTTTTACTTAAGCTTAGTAAAACATGTTCTAGATATTACACGAGCTAAAAGGTGACCCGTTTATGAATTAATTTCCAATATTTAGAGCATGTCCGATTGTGGTGTAAATTGATGTCTCTAAAACTATTTTTAAATCCTAATTTATATTTCGATGGATCTAAATTCAAATTTTACATTTTATGCCTAAAAATGCAATATGCATTTTATTTTCATCTCTCTATTTGTGAGGTTTTCGTCCACTTTAAAGATCCAAATCGCAATTTAAATATATTTTATTTCATGATTGAAGATTCTCTTACAATGATTGCAATAACTATTATATTTTTTGTCTCAAGTATTGATGCATATTCAAATACGAAGTAAGCTTGACAATCAAAGTAATAAATTGAATTCTCATTTATAAATTTTGATCCTTTTGAGTATTTTATTTTACACATTATATCCCTTAAAAATTTACAGTTAATTTCTATATGAATACTTGGGTCACAAGATTTCAATTGATTAAAGATTATACGAATTTCAATTATTGACTAATCTTAAATCAATTATATGAAAATGAATAGAAATATTCAATTAAAGATAATGTTTTCGTTAGACGAGTGAATCTCAATTATTGACTAATATTAAATTAATTATATGAAGATGACTAGTAAATTTTTTTTTAAAAGATAACATTTTCGTCCTAGCACATGACTAATGAATCTCTAATATTGATTAATAATAAATCAATTATATGAAAATGACTAAAAATATTCAAGTAAAAGGTAATGCTTTCACTAGATGATAACGCATAGCTTATGCCAAGCGAGGCATCTTTTTAGTTAATTTTTCAAATTAAAGAATATTCAAATACTTATTAAAAAGATGCCAGAAGAAAAGACGAAATGAGATTCAACGGAACTTGACATAACAATGTTAGTCTTAGACCAATATCCATATTGTTATTTTTAAGTTTCTCTATCTAGACTTCATTTTCCTTCTTTCTTGGAAAAGGGAAACTACAAAGCTTGATTGCCTTTCACTGCATAAGGAATCATGTATTGACTCTGCCTGCCCACCAACCCCAACTAGTATGAAAGATTCTTGGTGCGATGTTTATCCAATAATAGAAAGCAGTGTAATTGCAGAATTTTCAGGTAAACTTATTGCTATCGACTCTTGGAACATTATAATCTAGTACGTCTTTGTATCTTTTTCTCTCACATAATGTATATTAATACATTTTAATTCATTGATCTATAATTCAAACTGTTTATAAACATTTCTTAAACATGCTTTTAGATTTACCAAATATGGCATTAATGATGAAAAAAAAAGAAAAATCGGAGAGATTCATTTACTTACTTAAAAATATAGAGTAGGCTATTTATGGCAATAAATTAATAGTCTCTTTCTAAATAAAATTCAATAAATTTATGCGTTCTTGTATATACTTAACCAAATAGAGACGAGTATATAAATGACTAGACTAGGGAACATGTTTGGTTAAGCCAATAAAAGTTAGATTTAAAAGATAAAGAGAAAA